AATAGAGTACTGAGTTGGGTGATGATCATATTGAATGGTGGAGCAGGCTTGAAGGGCTGAATGGCCTACTCCTGCTTCTCTGTTTCTATGAGAGACCAGAATATCATCTTCATGTCTCTCCTATTGAATTATTTCAACATCTTTAAAAACTCTTGGGTGCTTCTTTGGCCCCCTCTTTTCTCAGTTGGAATCCTAACTTCTCAGTTCCAGTACCACTCCTGCTGCCCATGCTGCCTTTCTATCTTTCTCGTTAAGAAGGAGTGTGGAACCATGTGCCACAGAACTGCTCCTGTGGGGAGATATGGAGTAAGGGGAATTAATACATTTGTCCGGGTCTTAACAACTCCCCCGCCCTCCCTCGACCCTTTGTCATGAGGTCTCTGCACAAAACTCATTCAACACAGAAAAGTTTCAACTGAATACTGACTCAAAAACTACTCCACCTGTTATACATCATGTCATAAGGGGGCGATGCAGAGTCAGTTGCAGAGTGGTTGCAATATTAGGAGTTGCTCTGTTAGTTCATGACAGAGAGCATAGATGTTCATAATGTCTGTGTTTATATCTACTTATCTTTAGCTGCACTCTTGGTATTATTAAAAACATGATTTCTATCAGACAAATTTACACCTGACCCGTCAGTTTAGCACTGTATGTTATTAACCATTCTCCTTGAAGCAAACAGTTATTTTATATCTTTGTGCATATGGCTATAACAATAATGAGTAGTGCATGGTGGTTTGATTTGACTTATTATTTTTGCAAAGTGTAAATATTCTACTACTTTTACCATGATCACTACAGCTGCACTGCAATATTAGACCCCAAGATATAGGAGCAGAATTAGTCCTTTTGGCCTATTGATTCTGCTCTGTCAGTCGATCGCGGCTGACATGTTTCTGAACCCCATTCTCTTCCCTTCTCCTCATAACCCTTGGTCCCTTTACCAGTCAAGAACTTATCTATCCCGATCTTAAATACATTCAATGACTTGGCCTCCACAGCCCTCTGCAGAAATTGTTCCACGGATTCATCACCCTCTGGCTGAAGAAATGCCTCCACATCTCAGTTCTGAAGGATTGTCCCTTCACTCTGCGGCTGTGCCTTTGGGTCCTAATCTCTCCTACTACTGGAAACATTTTCTCCACTCTGTTCAGGCCTCTCGGTATTCTCCTAGCCTGTCTAAGTCCTTCTGCAGCCTCCCCGCTTCCTCAATATTACCTGTCATGTCACCTATCTTTTTGTCATCTGCAAACGAAGCAATAATGCCCTTAGTTTCTTTGTCTGGATAGTTAACGCATAAATTGGATAGTTGTGGTCCCACTTGGAACTCCATTGAGTTGCCATCCTGAAAAGACCCCTTTGTTGCTATACTCTGTCTTCTGTCAGTCAGTCAGTTGTCTATCCATGCCCATACCTTGCCTGTAAATTGTGTGCTCTTGTCTCATTTAGCAGCCTCCTGTGCAGCACCTTGTCAAACGTCTTCTGGAAATTCAAATAAATCATGTCCACCGGTTCTCCTTTGTCTAACTTGCTCATTAGTTTCTCAAAGAATTCTAACAGATTTGTCAGGCATGACTGGAGCAACATTTTCACACAGAGGGTGGTTCGTATGTGGAAGGAACTTCCAGAGGAAATGGTACCTGCAGGTACAGTTACAATACTTAAAAGTCATTTGGACAGGTACATGAATAGGAAAGGTTGAGAGGGATATGGTCCAAAAGCAGGCAAATGGAACTTGGTCAGCGTGGACGAGTTGGACCGAAGGGTCTGTTTCCATGCTGTATGACTCTATAGCCTCCCTTTGTTGAAGCTGTGCTGACTCAGCCCTATTTTACCACATACTTCCAAGTACTTCACATTCTCATTATTGATAATGGACTCTAAAATCTTATCGACGACTGGAGTCAGGCTAACTCCCCATAATTTCTCATCTTCTGCCTCCTTCCCTTCTTAAACAGGGGTGTTACATTAACTGCTTTCCAGTCCTCTGTGACCCTCCAGTGATTCCTGAAAGATCGCCACCAATGCCTCTACAATCTCCTTACCTATCTCTTTCATAACTTGGGGGTGTAGACTATCTGGTCTGGGTGATTAATCCACCTTCAGACCTTTCGGTTTCCCCAGCTCCTTCTCCTTAGTGATGACCACTACACTCACCTCTGCCCTTGACTCTCTTGAAGTTCTGATATGTTTTTAGAATTCGTTCATGGGATGAGGGCATCGCTAGCTAGACCATCATTCATTGCCGGTACCTAATTGCCCAGAGAGTAGTTAAAAGTCGTCTACATTGCTGTGGGCCTGGAGTCACATGTTGGCCATGTTAATGATGGCAGTCTCCCTCCCTTAAGGGCATTAGTGAACCAGACAGGTTTTTCTGACAATCATTAATGGATTTATGATCATCATTAGACTATTCATTCCAGATTTTTATTGAATTCAAATTCCACTATCGGCGGTGGCAGGAGTTGAACCTGGGTCCCCAGAACTTTACCTGTGTCTCTGGATTAACAGTCTGGCAAGAATACCACTCCAGTACTGAAAAAAAGCACTCCATTGGTTTTGAAGTGCTTTGGAACATCTCAAAAATAAGTTCTATCTTCCTCCTTGTATGCCTGGGCTGAGAACTCAGAGCTGCCATTTGAGCTGTCTCCACCTGACACCAGCAAAACTTGCAGCTTCTTGGCCCATTGTTTCTTCCTGGTCATTGTAAATCTGGCAGTCACTACCATGCCAGCATGGGGCTTTTGAGGCACGTCAAATGACAGTTAACACAAAATTGACCACCAAGTGTGAACCATTCTATCCTGTATTACAAAGTTTAGCTGTTTGTGGCCTGAACCCTGTATACAAGCTGCATATACTGCGGTTAATACTGCTGCATTCACCCTTTTGAACAGTGGCAACAGTTCTAAATATTGAACCTGGTAGGGTACAGATCTGGTGGGATTGTTGCAGTGTTGCCACTGTGCACATTAAAGCAGTAAACAGGGCTGGACCTGTTGACAACTGGATCATGGAACCTGCAGGTTACTTACAGTATTCTGCCATATGATTTGGATTGGTTCACAACCATTTGGTTCAACTCCAACTGCTGTCCAAATTGACTGGTTTTGCTTATATTCCCTTTGTGTGTGAACCATTGTGTCATTATGTTGGGCTGAATTAGTCTTATTTAATTCAGCACAATGTTGGAATTAAAATATAATTAGGTGGCAAATTATTTTGAAGTACCTGTAGTGAGGGTCTTTGACATGCATTCCATCGCAATGCTACTTATAGGTTCCTCTGGTGTTGATCATTCATCTGTGAGCATGTGGTATCTGTGCCCTCAGATCCTGTGCATCAAACCGCCCTGTGATTGGAAGAGTTTGGGTGTGGCACTGATCCAAAATGATAAGCAATAAAAATTAAGAGATTTTTTTTGTCACTTCTAATTTTAGTTTGAACTGTCTTATCCCTTCCAAGCTTCCGCCTTTCCAACTACACTGAAAATCTGAGAGGTCTAGATGAAATGGCTAGGAAGGCTGCATTCTCCCCAGTTGAAGAATAATTAACGTTGATTTTGGGTAAGATGTAAGGGGATTTGATGGGTCTTTTTTTCCTTTTCCTGTGTGGAATCTGGAACTCAATACCTTTTAAAAGTGTGACCTTATAGAGGTTTATGAAATCATGAGGGGCATAGATAGGGTGAATGGTCAAGGTCTTTTCCCCAGGGTAGGGAAGACCAAAACTGGAGAGCATAGGTTTAAGGTGAGATTGGAAAGATTTTAAAAGGACCTAAGGGGCAACTCTTTCATGCAGAGGGTGGTGCGTGTATGGAATCTGCTGCCACAGAAAGTGGTGGAGGCTGGTACAATTACAACATTTAAAAAGCATCTGGGTTGATATATGAATAGAAAGGATTTAGAGGGATATAGGCCAAATGTGTTAGTTCCTGTCAGTTCTCTTCGCCTGGTCTTCTAAGTTTACAAAGATCCAGTGTCCTTCTGCCTCTGGGACGCAGCTTCCGCCATTTTCCTTTCTAGCTTTCTCACATTTCTGTTTTAAGAATCAGTCAAAATGATGTTTCTATAGCGATGGACAGAAATAGTACCAGCACTGTAATTGCAGGTTTTATCAATTTTCTTCACTTCAGACATCACCATGAAACACATTGTGCAGTCGGGGGCGTTGGTGCTGCTTCAGTTGGCGCAGCAAGTGCACTGCCTCGTGCTCTGCATATTGGATTTGTCAGAGGGGTCGTCATTTGGATGAGACGTGAATCTCACGTCCTTTCTCAGATGGATACAATCGACCCCATTTGGTATGCTTCAAAAAAGCAGGGAAAATCTCCCTCTGCCCCGCCCTGGCTGTTTGTGGTATAATGGCCATAAAGCAATAGTGACTGCATAAGACCCTGAATAATATGTTGATACTTAATGTTGCAATTGCTTATACTTAGGGTCATGTGATACAGTGGTAGTTTCCTTACCTCTGACCGGAAGATCTGGGTCCAACTCACACTTTGGGCTATGACAGCCAGGGTGTGTCATAATAAATCCAAACAGGTTGAGTTTAAAAAGAACAAACTGGTTGGATATCTTGCCGGTGCTTTCGATTAGTCTACGACTGTCCCAGTCAAACGGTGTTTTCCTGCCTTTCCCCACTCCACTCTATGTTTGGTTTCCAAATAAACAAAAGTGCTTAATGATAATGAAAAATTGTACACTATCTGGGAGATTAATATTCGTCCTTGAGACTACAGGAATTTATGGTACAGAGTTGGCAACATTGAATGGTGCTTTGGACACAGAAAATAGAGGGGTGGGCTGTGGGTACAGAAACATCCAGGTCATTTCATGTTTCATCTTCTGTTGTATGAGTTGTTATGTGAAGTCGACTGGAGAGTTGGGGCAGGGGGATGCTGGGAGATGACATGCTGAGATTATGAAGCAAAATCTGATATTAATTCAATTGATGGAGATTCTTTGAAAACCTTTCTTGTGTTGTTGTTGCAGAGCCCTTGAATCCTGGAATGGCAAAGTGGCTTCTGAGGTTTGGAGCAGTAATTACAGGAGGGTTAGCACTGTCTGACTTGTATGTTGCGACCCATGTGGACCCTAACGATATTGGATTTGTTCGAATTATACGAGCTATGGCCACTGTAAGTAGTTTTATTAAGATATGTGAAAATTTAACTTGTACCAAGCTTTCATCTCAAAATTTCTCCCACTTCCCCTCATTTTATCAACCTATCGTTCTATTTCTTTCTCCCTAGTATTTGTCTGGCTCTCCCTTTTAATGCATCTAACATTATTTGTCTCGGCCTTTAGAGGGTTTCACAACCCCTGCTCTGAATCTATGGATAAAGAAATTTCTTTTGGAATTCCCTATTGGGATTTATGAGTTATTATTATAATCCATCCACAAGATCCACTTCTGCAACTCCTCAAGGGTTCTTCAACAGCATCTTCAAAACCTACGATGTCTATCACCTAGCAGGACAAGGGCAGAAGATACACAGGAACACCACCATCAGCAAGTCCCTTTCAAGCCACTCACCATCCTGTCCCGAAATTATATTGCTGTTCCTTCAGTGTCATTGCATTAAAATCCTGGTGCTCCCTGCCTAACAGCATTGCAGATGTACCCATATCACATGGACTGTAGTGGTTTAAGATGGCAGCTCATCACCAGCTTCTCGAGGGCAAATGAGAATGGGTAACAAATGCCGGCCCAGCCAGCGATCTCCGTATCCCATGAAAGAATTATAAAACAAATGCCTAATCTCCCCTCGTAATCTAACCCTTGGCAATATTCTGGTGAATCTGCACTGTACACCTCCCATGACTAATATCTCCTTCCTAAGATGCAGTGCCTCTGTAAAATCCTACAAATCTGTAGGAAGGGTGGGCTCTTTGATGTCTGTGTCCTCTCTCAGGCCAATATCTCCAGTATTGAGGCACTGGTTGCAGTCAATCAGCTGTGGGCCACGTCATCTGTATGCCAGACACAGACTTACGAAACAAGTTCTCTAGTCTGAACTTCGTCACGGCAAGTGGTCAGTCATCAGGAGGGCAGAGGCAGTGCTTCAAGGATGTCATGTTGTCAAAGCCTTCCTGAAACACACGTGACATCCCCATCAGCTCATAGGAATCTCTTGTCCCAATCTGGAGAAGAAGTGTCTGCAAAGGTGTTAACTATTTTGGGCATATCAGACAGAGTCAGGTGGATGCCAAGCACAAACAACTGAAGGAGAGTGAGATGCTCAGATTTTCTCACCCACTTGCCTCTTAAAAACCTGCCCCAGTTTCACATCCAGTGTTGGTCTGTAATTCACCTCTGAATCGACAATGCCAGAGAAAATAAAGTCACCCCTGATCCTGAGGGACTGCCCAAGTATATGAAGCAGAGACACAGTACTCCAAATGTGAGCTAGCCAGGGCTTTACATAGCTGTTGCAAAATTTCCGCTCATTTATATTCTGTTCTGTCCCCTCGTGTTATAAAATCTCACATTTCAGGAGCCTTTTTGATTATTTAGTTATTTGTGTACTTGGGCACATGGATGTCTTTGGATTTTTACTGTTCCGAACTTTTCTCCATTTAATTTATAGAGTCATAGATTCACTCAGCATGGAAACAGGCTCCTTGGTCCAACTTGTCTGTACCGCCTAGATATCCTAAACTGATCTGGTTCCATTTGCCAGCATTTGATCCATACCCCTCTAAACTTTTCCTATTCAGGTGCACATCCAAATGTCTTTTAAATGTTGTAATTGTGTACACCTCCACCATCTCCTCTGGCAGCTCATCCCTTATACCCACCACCCTTTGCGTGAAAAAGTTGCCCCTTAGGTCCCTTTTAAATCGTTCCCCTCTCACCTTAACTGTATGCCCTTTAGTTTTGGATGCCCATACTCTTGGGAAAAGACCTTGGCTATTCACTTAGATCTTCCTTTCCTCTGTTCAAAATGACCTTACGTTAGCTGCACTAGCCTCAGCTTTGTCCACTTGTTTAATATATCAGGGTCTGTTTGTAGTTTTATCTTCGTACTTACACAAATGACTATACCATCAATCTTAATGCCATAGGAAAACTTGGATAAACTCTGTCTGTCATGCTACCTCAATTATTAAAAAATATCGTGAATTTTTGAGGCCACAGCACAGATACCATGATACATGGGATACCATAAGTTACTTACTTCCACTGTGGGTTTATCCTTGTTTATTTTCCTATTCTGTCTTCTAAAATTAAACTAATGTGCCAAACAGGTCATTAAACAGTTAATGGTCTTGAAAAAATTTTCTTTCATTGTCCTTGAGTTATTTTGTGAAGATTTTTTAGTGGACAGGCTTAGTGCCCAGTTTCATTGTAGAAACTGTACAACCCAACCCTGCTCCAGAGCTGGGATGCCTATGAGCAATGAGAGTATAAAACAGTAGGATATGATATTAATGTGTCATGCCTGTAAGTTTAAAGAAACCTTATGCATATAGATGGATCCAGTACCCTCCACCAAAAGTGGAAGAGGGTCGGTGGCATCATGCTGGACCAGGAGAATTTGGTGACCCTGCCTGACAGGAGTGAAGTGGCGTATTGAAAAAGGCAAAAGTCAGTTGAAGAACTTTGTTTTTGTGATGTTAATTTCAGACTGCAGTCATCAGTTATGACTACATGACCTCACTCAAGAAGGTGGAGTATGGGACAGATGAATACGAGACTGTCAAGTCACAGGTAGGCCCAAATCCTTATTGTTGGCATCTCTTGTTGATCAGTGACTTCCTGTGAAGCATTTGATTCGAACATGGTGAGGCAATCTGCTATTTGGCACTGCGGCAGGATATGTGCAGGCCTGTGTGTTGCTCCTGACAGAGGCCCAGGAACTATTGGTGGTGGGGTGAGGGGGAGGAAGGAAAGGAACTCAAAGAAAATTTTGACACCAGGTTGCTCTGTTGCTCCTCTTGATTGTTTTGACAGTAGTGTGAAGGAGGAAGAGATGTGTGCAGAGTGGAGGTGACCATTGGGATCTTGTTGTTTATAACATTTTTCTGGCAAACACCCTCCACTAAATAGTGAGAGTAAGATTTGAGATAATTCAATATTGTTTAAAATAGAACTAGCTAAATATAGAAACAAATTGTATGTATAGAGAGGGACAAGCAGAGGAATAAGCTGTTGAGATTTATTTTTCAAGGAGGTGGCACAAGTTCAATGGGCCAGATGGCCTTCTATTATGCTAAATGGCAGAGAAGTTAGCTGAATGATTAGCTCATTCAAGGAATTAGTATAGTTGTGAAGGACCAAATAACTTAGTATACTGCACTGATTCTGTTCTATGAGTCACATTTCATGTTTTGTGTTACTACTATGGGATAAAGTATGCTCTTATTCAGGAAACTTATTGTGATGGATAGTGAAGGGAAGTTTTTTGCTTTGTTTGAGATGGTCTGCCTGCACTGTGCCTTATGATGAGATCTTTTCTCATCATGGCCCTGTCTTACTCAAGGGGATCAAGGATTACGGGGAGAAAGCGGGAGAATGGAGTTGATAAATTTATCATCCATGATTGAATGGCGGAGTAGACTCAATGGCCTGAATGGCCTAATTTCTGCTCCTATGTCTTGTGGTCTTATGATCTTAGAGATAAAGCATTCCAGATGCCTGCCTTTAGACTTTTAGCCCTTTGATTGAGTGAGCTCTGAAGTGATGGACTTCTGCTTGAATTTTAAGTTCTGTAAATAATGAGCCCCTTCTGTTCCATCCATTCCGAATGCTACTTGATCCTCTCTGCACCACTCTGGTTATCAACTTCTGTACAGGTGTCATTTCCTTGTTGTTTCATAGGCTTGTAAAGATTGTATCTATTTATTTTTCTGTAATTTTGATCGTGGGCTGAAATGAGAAAAGAACACATAAAACAGGATATTTGAAAGATTACTGCATGATTTAAAAGCAAGTTGCCTGATGCTCATTGTAAGTGCTGTTTATACAGCTGTTGGTTCAAGTAGTGGGGGAAGCTTAGTTTCAGATGAGCTGGACCCAGGAGTCTGTGTATGAATGGAGATTTGGCTGGCAACAAATAGCTGAATAGATCTGTGAAATGGTAACTAGCTATCGATGACAAAGGCCTTCTGCCTACAGACAACTATGTGTTTGGCTCCCAGGTAGGTGAACAGCTTAAGGGTGTGAATGTTTTGGAGAGAAGCCATTGGACCTGTGGAAGGGAAGGAACTGTTTCTGGTCTGCAGTAAAAAGCATTATGACCCTGAAGACAGCCACTTTATTTCTTCTCATCAGTTGCCATAGGCTGTGACAAGTAAGTAAAAGACCTTTATTAGTGTGAAGCAATCCCATAGTGTCTCCTGCAAACAAGTGAAAGTATCTGGAGGAGGGTCGAGGGGCAATATTTTGATCAACAAAAATGGATAATCTCAGCAAATCCTGTGCACAGGGACCTCTGAACTGCCTTCCCAGTTTTCCCGTGTGTGTGTCATATGAGTGCACCCATAATGCTGGTAGGAAGAGAGTTCCAGGTTTATTGCCTAACAACAGCGAGGGAATGGCAACATTAGTTCCAAGTCTGCATTGTCTTGGAAAAGAACTTGTGGTTGGTGGTTTTGCTATGGCACCTGTTCTTTCATGTGGGAGAAGTTACAGATTTAGGAAATACTGTTAAAGGGACTCAGGTAGGTCACTGCAGTACCTCCTGTGAATGGCATACTTAGCTGCCATTGTACGGTGTTGGAATTAATATTTATTTCCAAGCTCTGACATTGCACATCAATGGCCTAATCAAGAAGGGTGGCTATCATAATGAAGCTCAGTCATGCATCCTAAGCAGGAGTTTCTGGATACTGAACTGGACCAGCAATAACACTGACTGACTGCCTGGCAGCACACTTCCCTTCCAAAATGTGACTGGCTAACTCTGCAGAAACAGATTTAAACATGGCTACCATCTCTCTGGAATTGGTCTGGACCTTCTGGGTTGTGAGCAAAAAGAAAATCCGTTAGAAATGTTGTCAACTCAAAACTCCTAGTTTCTTGTTTCTTCTTCATTTTCTTTGGTTTCCTTCCTCTGTTACAAAAATGTTGAACATTGGAGGAAAAATGGCTGTTTGGAGGTGTGTGACAAAATCTCCAGGAATGTGTTCAGAGTTGGCAGCCCCAGATTGATCATGGCATCTTGCTGGCTAGCATGGCAATGGAGTAACTAGCTCCTATTTTACGTTATGTTAAAGATTCCTTTTTCTAAATTGTAGCCTTCCTTTTTGTCCACTTCTAGGCTGAGTTTAATGCAGTACAAAGTGTTAGGCCACCCATTCAGAGGTGTCAGTGATATTGTTGGGATGATTTATACTCAAGCTGCAGGTTTTGCTGGAAAGAATGGCATTTAATGCCCATTGTGAATTGCTCTCAGCAGTGGGCATGGACAAGTGCGTGGTGCTCCTGTATTGTCTGGAGGAATGTGCTGTTAATCAAGCCCCACTACTCCACTGGTCACACCAGTGGTATAACTTTATTATTTCAATTACCAAAATGGCCAGTTGCTTCTCTTTAGTATTGCAATGAAAAATAAAAGAAACACCCATCAGGCTCCATTTAATGACCTGAAAAGTAATCCATTTATTATGAATAAATCTCATTCTGATAGCCAGTCACACACACTCAACAACATCATTGCTGTTACTCCTGCAGACAGACACAAGAGCAAGCTGAATGGGTCAGATGTGCTGATGTTGCTTTGCTAATAATGGTCCAGGATAGCGGCGGAGTAGGATGCTTCAGCTGGAGTTCATCCGCTCCAACCGTTCTTCTTTTTCTTCTTTTGTTTTTAACCACTTTGTATTCTTTTTCTCTTCTTCTGTCCTGGCCTCCAATGATTCCCAACCTTCAGTCGACTCCTAGCCTCAGCGCAACCACGATCAGGAGTCCTCTCAGCCTGCAGTGGCCTCCCATGGCAGCCTCCTGGCTTGGCACGGTGGCCTCCTGGTGTGGCGGCCTCCAGGCATAGCATCCTTTCAGCCCGGCGTGCCACTCTTCTGGCGGTTTGTGGTGGTCTCTCAGCCTGGGATGGCCTTAGCGTGGTCTCCTCATCTTGAGGCAATTCCAGAGCAATCCCTCAGCCTTGTGAACCTTGAGGTGAAGTCTGGTGCAGTCTGGAGACAAAGCCCGGTGTGGTCTGGAGGCTAGGTGCCAACGTGGTCTAGGTTGGATGACCGTTGTTCTGAACTTTTATTTTTGCAATGCTGGACTTTTTATTTCTCTATTTTCTAAGATCTTATAACTGAAGAAGCTGTGCATCTTTGTACCTAAGATGTGCTCTAAGTGATGATGTATAAACTTTTCACTGTACTCATTTGAGTGCATGTGACAATAAAGCTAATTCAGTTCAATTCACTTATACAAAAAGAACACAAGTCTCTGCACCAACAGTCTGGAAACCAAGGATAAAATGGGATAACTCACAGATCAGCTGAAATTTCCTGTGAACGAAACTCCGTTACTGACAGCTATAGATTGGCAATAAATGTCCGGTTCTGAATCCAACCAGCTTGAATTTGAGTTGTTGGGAATTGGTCAAAGTGCATTCCTTCAGATTTTGCCAGGTAGCGACAAGTAATGCTCGATGAGAAGGATTTCAGAAGAGAGACTGCAGCTTCTAAGGAGTCTTCTTTTCCCTTTGATTTCTGGGCCGACCAAAACTGCATTCTCAGGGCTGTGACTTTCTGAATCACCTAATAGTATAGGCTGATAGCCCTCTCAAAGCCAGTTCTTTTTTCCTTTCAGTAATTGTAGCAGTAAATGCCATTTCTTACCTCCGTGAAAGTTATGCTTGCCTCCTCTTCCAATGTTGCATAATTTCCAGAAAAGCATTAATAATGTTTTATGATCACCGTTACTGAGATTTTTTAATTTCAGATTTGATTAATTGAATTTAAATTCCAGTAGCTGTTGTGTTGGGATTTGAACCTGTGGTTTCAGAACATTGTACTGGATTACTTGTCCAGTGATATTACCATTATGGCACCATATTTGAGTTGTTTTTATTTGTGTATTTATTTAATTATTGTCACCTGTATTTTGTTACAAAATACAGTAAAGAGTATTGTATGGTGTCATCACTCTCTGGCGCTATCTTAAAACACTGAAAACAAACCAAAGCATAGAATATAAAGGCAGAAATATAAAGAAAAAGTATCCAACTTTACAGTCCCTCTTGTTAAGTGCTCCGTCATGGGCCATGGGCCTCATGGCCAGGTACGTGTCCCATTCGTCTTTCCGCCACAGCTGGAACAAATGCCGCTGCTCTTCAGTGCTATCTCACCTCAACCAATGCCCTCGCCACTGAGTCCTCGCTGGAGCCCGCCAGTGCAGGTGGCACTAATGCTGCCAGGTACTGCACCATCCCAAATTTGTCTCCACCGTTACTATGAGTCTGCTTTGGGCCCACCTCACAGATGCAGCCGCTGCTGATACTGCCGGGTCTCGTACTGGGCTCAAGCTCACCGCCACCGCCGCCTCCTCGAATCTGTGCTGGATGCAGATGCTGCCGGAAACCAAACTCGCTTCCGGAGCAGCAGCCACGAGTTGGCGCTAGGACCTCCTTGTTGATGCAGAAGCTGCCAGGAACCCAAAGCCACCTCCACCGCTGCTATGAGTCCGCGCTCATAGGGCTCACTCACTGCCACCGATGCCATCATCGTTACTGAGTTCTTCAACAAGAGATAAGT